TAAAATATAAGCAAAACATGGAATTTAGAAGGGAGGTTTGATATTCTAGTAACTGAAATTTGCTTTGTGAATCTTATGTCCTGTCTTTTATGTTTAATAAATACCTTATTAGATTTTAAACATTTCCCAGGCAGTGGATTGCATTACCCAGACCCTATAGATTTGAGTTGTTGGACAAGTTAGTGACCGCAGGGGGGCAACAGGCCCTCAACCAAGTGTTTTATAAGGGGAGGGGGGGGGATAATTTTGGCCCCCACCAAAAAAAAAACAATTTGATTTCGAAACTAGAAGTATTTGAAATCATATATACATATAATCAAATATCTGTAATCGATATTTTGATAACATTTCTCATAATAATCCATCCTGACTCGTGGATATCATAGACTCACAAATCATAATGAACGAATTAATGAAAGGGCCTAACAAATGACGTATAGAAGACTTTGAAAATGCCATTTCCGACGATTTAGAGACGCAAAATTTTCAAAATTTTTCCGCTCTGTGCTAACCATGGTGGCGTTTCGTGGGAGTCGGGAACTCTAAGTTTATCAAGCTGGCTCCCTAAGTGACGGCCAAGTTGTGGTATCTACATAAACATACTATGCAAGTACTTAACTGAAGGTTCAGTCTATATCTACAGCATAATGTAATGCTGTATATCCAAAAATCTGTTTTAGAAAATGCAGGGAATTGCAGTCATAGGGGTAGAAATATACAAACATTTTCTGGGAGAGAAAACCCCAGACCTCTCCAGGGCCGTAGCAACCGCGGGGGGGGGGAGGGCTGGGGGGCTGCAGCCCCCAATAATTTGCTAATAATCATTCATTTTTCAAAATCATGCAGACCTTTATCATTTAATCCATGACAAACTTCAAAGAATGAAGATATTACCCATACTTTCCTGCAACTTATCCAAAATATCGTTAATTAAATACACTTGCGCCCATTTAGTACTACTGAACTCTAAATTTCCACATACTAAAAACGCTGTTTTTTGACAATCAGAAATCTGTCAAATCTTCCCCAAAGTCCAGGAAATGGCATTTCAGAGACTCTAAATTTAAAAATTTCCTCGGGCCTTCGGCCCTCGCTTTCAGCGCCCCCAAACGAAAGAAGCTTCCTACGGCCCTGCTCTCCCCCCACACTACTATTAAATGCGATACCACACCAAACGTTTTGTTACCAACAAACCATCTATCATTGCTCCACACTCTGTATAGTATGGTCCCTTTTTGTAGATGGCCCCCCCACTGACGAATTCTTAAAAAATGCCCTGAGTGCACATGGTGTTCTGGAACAGTGTTTCAGTTTATTATATATGCGTGCAACCGCTTTAGAATAATAATTCATTTATGTAATATGGTAATACCTATTCTCACACATCATTGGATATACTCATAGCATTTCGGCCAATGACATGCAGGCTGCTAGTGCACATGGTGTTCTGGAACAGTGTTTCAGTTTATTATATATGCGTGATTTGCTGTTATTTGTATATCTAAGTATGCTTTTGCAACATTTTTACTCGTTGATTTTTCCCAACCCTGGCCGCCTGGCGTACAAATAGCATGTAATAATTATATGTCGATATATAGCGGTTAACCCTTCAAAATAACGTTCTATGCAGTGTGCATTGGATACACAAAATATGTCGCTTCCAAATCCCCAGTGCTATGAACAATTGAGAGTTTGGCAAATACAAGGGCAACCGCAACGGCAATATAGTCATCAACAATAGCATTAATCGTCAAAGACAAAGGCGAATGTAAATTACATGGTCTTAAGCGTTGTGCAATGCCGTAGTTGTTGAAACATTTGCATCATTTTCACGGCGCATGCCTACGGCGACAGTTAATTCTTTCGATGTTATTTGAGGTGTTTTATTTGAATTCGCGGACTATTTTTACAGGAATACTTAAACAGGCAAATTAAGTGTAGTAATGTATACTTTGGCTCAAATGCAACAATACAAGCAATTATATTTTCCCCGTTGCCGTTGTCGTTCCAGGTTTCCAAACTCTCTATTGGCTCGACTGCGATGGCACTTGTATTTAGAAACCACGTCTAAAGGCCCATTTCCACTCAGGGAAATTTTCCGCAGAAAGAAAATTTTGTAAAATGAGATTGGCGGACACAAATTTTCCGTCGGAAAAAAATTTTGAAGTTGAAAATTTTCAACTTTTAACAATGACATTTTTGGAAAATTTTCTGTTCATGGAAAATTTTCTTGACTAACTCGGATTTGAAATATTACGTATTGTATATTAAAAAGCTGTTCCAGGTGGATTTTTTGGTCTGAAATAGTATGATAATCTTCGTTGAATCTTAAGTTTGCCATTTTTGCATGGATTTCAAATGTTTTATTATTTGTGAGGAAAAATTTGATTCTCGTAGACGATCTACTCTTAAACTATCGTGCACGTTGTTGTAACAAGTTTGGAACAAGCTGTTAACAACTTGTAACAAGCTTGATGGCATATAAGTCATGATATAACAAGAACGTTACAAGGTTGACGACACAAGGTTGTAACGAAATTGTTATATCATGACTGTATCGGACTTGTTGCAACAACCTCGCAACAGGTCTGATAATATCAACAAGGTTGTTACAAGTTGTTAACCACCTGTTACAACTTGTTGACAACTGAAACAAGCAATGCGAACACAACTTGTTGACGGCTTGTTGGCTACAAGATATGAGATTCAGTTTGCGTGTGAAGATTTTTCGCAACAGGCTTGTAGCAAGCTAGCTTGTCAACAAGTTGTAACAATGCTGTTATTTTATCAAGTTGCTACAAGGTTGTCACTCACAACTTGTTGCTAAATTGTCGAACTGTAGGACGATAACAAGTTGTTGGAACAACTTGTAACAAGTCTGTTGAGCTCGACAATTGCAACCTTGTAGCAAGTTGTCAATAATTCAAGCCGTTAATTGAAGAATGCGCGGCACAATCCTCGATGCTACAAGGTTGTTGGGCTCAACAGACTTGTTACAAGTTGTTCCAACAACTACAACTTGTTATCGTCCTGCAGTTCAACAAGCTGGGAACAAGCAGTGCGAACACATCCAGTTGACATCTTGTCGGAACGGACAGGGCCGCCGAGAGGTTGGCGGAGGCCCGGGGCGAATTTTTTTTTTAGGGGCCCCTATTTCAAAATTTTTTTTCAAAGTTATTGGAACAAGTTGTAACAAGTCTGCTGAGCTCGACAGCCTTGTAGCAAGTTGTCAATAATTCAAGCCGTTGGAAAATGCAAGCGCACTGCTCGATGGTCCGCTAGCAAACTGAATTGTTGACAACTTGCTTTAAGGTTGTTGGGCTCAACAGACTTGTTACAAGTTACTCCAACAATCAACCTGCAATTCAGCAAGCTGGGAACAAGCAGTGCGAACACATCCAATTGACAAGTTGTCGGAACAGCATTGCAACAAGTCTGCTGGAGGTTTGTTAATTTACAACTTGACCGTTTTTACGTGATCGACTGCATGTGTAGTCCCAGGCTTTCTCGCTTCTGTTTGGCATCGCTTGGCGAACGAATCGAACGAACAAATGATGTGAACGGCTTGTTGACAACTTGCTACAAGGTTGTTGAGCTCAACAGACTTGTTACAACTTGTTCCAACAACTTGTCATCGTCTTGTGGCAAATTGATACAACATAAACAGCATTGTTACAACTCGACAAGCAAAAATCTCACATCTTGTAGCAAGTCTACCAACAAGTTGCGTTCGCACTGCTCGCCCCAAGTTGTCAACAACTTTGGGACAAGCTGTTAACAGTTGTAACAACCTTGTTGACATTGTCAGACTTGTTGCAAGGTTGATCCAAAAGTTCGCTACAGTCATGATATAACAATATTGTATCAGATTTGTTCGAACAGGCTGGGAACAATCAGTGCGGACACATCCAGTTGACAAGTTGTCGGAACAGCATTTATGTAACATGAAGGATGATTTTTAAATAAATGACGGGTTACCTCAAAAACCTTCAATAAAATAAAGCGCCTGCACGCAGGCTAAATGACACTCTATGCAGTGTGCATTGGATCTTACACAACATCCGTGTTGCCTCCATTTCTAATAACGTGAACATGGGCCGGGCAGTGTCGCGTACGTGTTTTGTTCTGGCTGCCCCTACTCGAAAATCGGGGTAATCCAATGTTATGTGACTGTCTTCTGTTCCATTTCATTAGTGTTACGAAAATCCGGAGTTCTCCGAAGATTAAATGGAGAAGCTTGCTGGAGGAGGTGCCCAACCAAGCGAGAATCAAATTTTTCCTCACAAACGACAAAACTGGAAAGAGCAATAGATTAAATATTTCAAATCCATGCAAAAATGGCAAACTTAATGCACTAGTCAATGTAAATCCCCGCCCCCTCCCCCCAACCGGGGAGGAGCGGGGGATTTAGCGGGAAAGTGGTCAGCTGTGATTGTAAATATGTCCCCGATAATGGGGGACTTGGACGACATTTTTCTTTCGGTAGACGATGCGGAGACGAAAGCGAGGGAATGGATTCAGTGGTCAACATATATATCCTGTGTTGCTGTTTTAGTTTTCTTTACAAGAAAAGTTTAAATACAATAACATAAATGAATTTGATTTTCTATTGCTGATTTATGAAATATACAAAACTATTTTCCCGGGGTTGAAACACATGCGGGGACATTGATTAATCACCCTTTCCCCGGGGGCGGGGGCAATTTCGATTTTTTACCACCTCTAAGTGAAAATCCCCCGCCTATCCCCGGTTCGGGGGGGGGGGGGGTTACATTGACTGGTGCATAAGATTCAACGAAGATTATCATACCATTTTGAGCATTGATTTGAAATTTGCTTGTGATGTTACTCTGAGTTGGATATACACTCAGAGTAACATCACAAGCATCTTATTCACCTGAGTACATTACACCAACACAGCAAATATCATGAATATTAGATTACATTGATATCGAACGAACTAGACTCAGTTCCGAAATATCACATACTCGAACCGACCTGACCGCGTAGCTCAGTTGGCAGAGCATTGGGCTAGTGTTGCAAAGGTCGTAGGTTCGATTCCCACCGTGGTCAGGCATATCCTTCAAGCCTGCCCGGTGTGGATATACACTCAGCGTAACATCACAAGTATCTTATTCACCTGAGTACATTACACCAACACAGCAAAGATTTGAAATTTGTTCAACTGCGCTTTCCACTTTTGTGGTTTTGAGGAAAAATTTGATTCGGCACTGGGGTAGTTCTTTAGCTCCCATATACCAAAGTTTTCCCGCCATATGACGTCAGCATCGTAATGTTTCCGCCATAGACGTCAGTTACGTCCGGGGCTAAACCATATAGACGTCATTTACGTCCGGGGCTATATATCTACACCCCCTGTGCCGAATCAAATTTTTCCTCACAAGCGACCAAACTGGAAAGGACTGTTGAACAAATTCAAATCCATGCAAAAATGGCTAACTTAAAATTCAACGAAGATTACCAGAACTATTTTGACCCAAAAATCTACCTGGGTCATTTTTATGAAAAATTGAGGGGAGACGAAAATGATTATCCATCAGTAGTGTTGGTAATTAAAGCAATCCACGAGTTTTGGTCGGTCTTTAAGGCACCAAAAGGCACGGATGTTCGATATCTCGAGTTTGGTGGTGGACCTTCTATAGCCAACCTTGTTTTTGCCTGTCCAAAAGTGGATCATATTGTCTTTGCCGAGTATGCAGAAGCGAATAGGCAAGCCGTGAAATCGTGGATTGCTGGTGACCCAGACGCATTCGACTGGATGCCTTTAATTGAAATCGCTGTTCTTGAACTCGAACAAGGACGTGGCATTCTAGAAAGTCCTACTGTACCGCGAACAGACAAAGAGATGCTCGACTGTGTAAATCGTGCTAATGAACTGAAACGAAAAATAAAATCTGTTGTTCCATGTGATGTGTTCAAAACACCAATAGTCCAACTTGATACGGACGACGTTGCCAAATCGTTCGACGTCGTCTCCACCAGCATGTGCCTTTATACATGTGTGTCATCTGAGGTGCACTACAAGAACACCGTCGCAGAACTTTGCAAATTACTCAAACCAAACGGGTATCTATTCATTCTCGGCTTCATAGGGCAGACGTTTTATCATGTCGGCGAAGAAAAGTTTTCTACCTTTCCCCTAACCGAGAAAGTGGTGAAAGAAGCAATGAATGAAGCAGGAATGCAAATTTTGAAATTTGTATCAACTCCAGTATTGTACTCAACCGAGTGTTTTGATGGTAAAGCTATATATTGTACTCATGGCAGAAAATCTGCGGCCAGAGAGTAACAATCAACACAAACTTGCAACAATTATTAGTAGAATTTGGGCTTTTTGGTTATTACAGTTAGCATGTATCCACGTTTCTGTAAAATTTACAGCTGTTATTTACCGCTTTATAACAATAATTCATTTATGTACTATGTAATTAAATAGCTTGTATTGTATAATAAAAACCTGTTCCAGGCAGATGTTTTGGTCAAAAAAGTATGATAATCTTCGTGGAATCTTATATTAAGTTTGCCATTTTTGCATGGATTTGAAATATTTAATCTACTGCGCTTTCCAGTTTTGGCGTTTGTGAGGAAAAATTTGATTCTCTCGCTTGGTTCGGCACATGTTGTACACGTTGTTCTAACAAGTTTGGAACAAGCTGTTAACAATGTGTAACAAGCTTAATGGTATTATCAGACTTGTTACAATGTAGTTTTAACAAGTCGAATACAGTCATGATATAACAAGAATGTTACAAGGTTGACGACACAAGGTTGTAACAATATTGTTATATCATGACTGTATCGGACTTGTTGGAACAACCTTGCAACAAGTCTGATAATATCAACAAGGTTGTTACAATTAGCAGTTGTTAACAGCTTGTTCCAAACTTCTTGGCAACTTGGAACAAGCAGCGCGAGATTTTTGCGTGTGAAGATGTATTCGCAACAGGCTTGTAACAAGTTTGTCAACAAGTTGTATTAAACAATGCTGTTATTTTATCAAGTTGCTACAAGGTTGTCACTCACAATTTGTTGACAAATTGTTGAACTGCAGGACGATAACAAGTTCTTGGAACAACTTGTAACAACTCTGTTGAGCTCGACAGCCTTGTAGCAAGTTGTCAACAAATCAAGCCGTTGGCAAATGCAAGCGCACTCCTCGATGGTCCGCAAGCGAACAGAATCGTTGACAACTTGCTACAAGGTTGTTGTGCTCCACAACTTGTTATATCGTCCTACAGTTCAAAAAGTTGGGAACAAGCAGTGAGACCACATCTAGTTGACAGGTTGTCGGAACGGCATTGCTACAAATCTGCTGGAGGTTTGTTACAACTTGTGCGTTTTTACGTGACTGTATAGTCCCAGGCTTTCTCTCTTCTGTGTGATATCGTTTGGCAAACGAATGGAACGAAAAAAGGATCTGAACGGCTTGTTGACAACTTGCTACAAGGTTTTTGAACTCAACAGAAATGTTAGAAGTTGTTCCAACAACTTGTTATCGTCTTGCGGCAACTTGATATAACATGAATAACATTGTTACAATTTCACACGCAAAAATCTCACATCTTGTAGCAATTAAGTCTGCCAACAAGTTACGTATACGTTGGCACTGCTCGCCCCAAGTTGTCAACAAGTTTGGGACAAGCTGTTAACAGTTGTGACAGCCTTGTTGACATTGTCAGACTTGTTGCAAGGTTGATCCAACAAGTCCGATGCAGTCATAATATAACAATTTTGTTACAACCTTGTCTCGTGAACCTTGTAACATTCTTTTTATATGTATCAGACTTGTTTGAACAAGCTGGGAACAATCAGTGCGAACACATCCAGTTGACAAGTTGTCGGAACAGCATTTGTAAGATGAATGATAGATTTTTAAATACATGGCGGGTTACCTCAAAACCTTCAATAAAATAAAGCGCCTGCTACGCAGGCTAAATGACACTCTATACAATGTGCGTTGGATCTTACACAACACATGTCGCCTCCGTTTCTAATAACGTGAACATGGGCAGTGTCACGTGCATGTTTTGTTCTGGCTGTCCATACCCGAAAATCGGGTAATCCAATGTGGTAATCAGAACAGTCATGCGACTGTTTTCAGTTCCATTTCATTAGTGTTACGAAAATCTGGAGTTCTCCGAGGATTAAATGGAGCCGCTTGTTGGAGGTGGTGCCCAACCAAGCGAGAATCAAATTTTTCCTCACAAACGACCAAATTGGAAAGCGCAGTAGATTAAATATTTCAAATCCATGCAAAAATGGCAAACTTAATGCATCAGTCAATGTAAATCCCCGCACCTCCCCCAACCGGGAAGGGGCGGGGGGGGGGGCGGAAAAAGTGGACTATTTCCGCAAACTTACATTTTCTCCTAAAAAATCAGCCTTTTAATTTGTATGCTTAATTAATGCGTTTGCCTAATTTGCTTATGTCAGCAACATGCAAATTAGGTAAAGGCATTAATTAAAAATGCGAAAGGCTGATTTTTTAGGTAAAAGTGAATAGTTAAAGGGCTTAAACTAAAGAAAATTATCCAAAATTTTGAGCAGTAATTAACAATCCAACAAAGTGTCCATTCATTAACTCAAAATACGATTAAAACTTTTAAATTTCGTGCGCAAGCCATTTTTAATTTGATGGAAAAAAAACACACCCACTTGGTTTACAAAATTTGAGTTCGAGAAATTTTTTTCATTATTCTACATTATAAGTACCCAAAGAAACTATATAAAAAAACTGGATACCAGTAGCTGTTTTGCGAAATTGAGAGCAATTTCAAATCTGTTCAGTTTTAGTTTTTGATACACCCTGTATTGGAGTATCCTACATGATAAGTACCCAAAGAAACTATATAAAAAAACTGGATACCAATAGCTGTTTTGCGAAATTGAGAGCAATTTCAAATCTGTTCAGTTTTATTTCTTGATACACCCTGTATTGGAGCTAATGGACTACTCCCCCCAGTGGCGAATGAAATTTTTCCTCGAATTAAAACGACAAAAGTGGAAAGCGCAGTCGAACAAATTTCAAATCTATGGTCAAAATAGTATGAAAATCTTCGTTGAATCTTATACACAAGTCAATGTAAAGCCCCCCCCCCCCCCGCGGGGAGGGGCGGAGATTTTCATTTAGAGGTAGTAAAAGAGCGAAATTGCCCCCGCCCCCAGGGAAAGGGTGATTAATCAATGTCTCTCAACGCGGTAAAATAGTTTTGTATATTTCATAGATTAGCAATAGATAATCAAATTCATTTATGTTATTATATTTTAATTTTTCTTGTGAAGAAAACTAAAATAGCTACACAGGATATATATGTTAACCAATGAATCCACTCCCTCGCTTTCATCTTCGCATCGTCTACCGAAAGAGAAAATGTCGTCCAAGTCCCCATCATCGGGGACATATTTACAATCAAAGCTGACCACTTTCCCCGCTACACCCCCCGCCCCTCCTCGGTTCGCCATTTTTGCATGGATTTGAAATATTTAATCTAGTGCGCTTTCCAGTTCTGTCGTTTGTGAGGAAAAATTTGATTCTCGCTTGGTTGGGCACCACCTCCAACAAGCGGCTCCATTTAGTCTTCGGAGAACTCCGGATTTTCGTAACACTAATGGAATGGCACTGAAAATAGTCGCATGGCTGTTCTGATTACCACATTGGATTACCCCGACGCAATGTAGCGTTTTCCCGCCATATGACGTCGGGGTAATCCAATCAATCTCGAAACCAGAGCCTGCAATCCTCTGTGGAGGCTTGCTACAGAGGATTGCAGGCTCTGGTTTCGAGATTATAATCCAATATGGTAATCAGAACAGTCATGCGACTGTTTTCAGTTCCATTCCATTAGTGTTAGAAAAATCCGGAGTACTCCGAAGATTAAATGGAGAAGTTTGCTGGAGGGGGTGCCCAACCACGCGAGAATCAAATTTTTCCTCACAAACAAAACTGGAAAGCGCCGTAGATTAAATATTTCAAATCCATGCAAAAATGGATTTGAAATATTTACAAACATGTAAATCCCCGCATCTCCCCCAACCGAGGAGGGGCGGTGTAGCGGGGAAAGTGGTCAACTTTGATTGTAAATATGTCCCCGATGATGGGGGACTTGGACGACATTTTCTCTTTCGGTAGACGATGCAGAGACGAAAGCGAGGGAATGGATTCAGTCGTCAACATATATATCCTGTGTTGCTATTTTAGTTTTCCGGCTTTACAAGAATTTAATGAATTTGATTGCCTATTGCATGCTAATCTATGAAATATACAAAATGATTTTCCCGGAGTTGAGAGACATTGATTAATCATCGTTTTTCCGGGGGCGAGGACAATTTCGCTCTTTTACTACCTCTAAATGAAAATCCTCGCCCTTTCCCGCTTGGGAAGGGGGGTTTACATTGACTGGTGCACAAGATTCAACGAAGATTATCATACTATTTTGACCAGATTTGAAATTTGTTAAACAGCGCTTTCCACAAACGCTTTTCCGTTTTTGAGGAAAAATTTGATTGGGCACTGGGGTGGAGTAGTCCTTTAGCTCCAATATAGCAAAGATTTCCCGCCATATGACGTCAGCATCGTAATTTTCCCGCCATAGATGTTATTTTCGTCCGGCGCTAAATAACTACTCCCCCTGTGGCTGTGCCGAATCAAATTTTTCCTCACAAGCGACCAAACTGGAAAGAGCAGTTGAACAAATTCAAATCCATGCAAGAATGGCTAACTTAAGATTCAACTCTGAGATTCAACGAACATTACCAGAACTATTTTGACCCAAAAATCTACCTTGGTCATTTTTATGAAAAATTGAATGGAGACGAAAATTATTATCCATCTACTGTGTCGGTAATTAAAGCATTTCATGAGTTTTGGTCGACCTTTAAGCCACCAAAAGGCACGGATGTTCGATATCTCGAGTTTTGGTGGTAGATCTTCCATAGCCAACCTTGTTTTTGCCTCATGTCCAGAAGTGGATCATATTGTCTTTGCCGAGTATGCAGAAGTGAATAGACAAGCCTGCGCATTGTAAGCTGCCAAAATTAGCATTGCACACGACTGGATGCGTTTAATTAAAATCGCTGTTCTTGAAATCGAACAAGGACGTGACATTGTAGAAAGTCTAGCATCTCTTTGTCTGTTCGTACAACAGGACTTTAAGTTCTGTTATACGAACAGACAATGAGATGCTCGACTGTGTAAATCGTGCTAATGAACTGAAACGAAAAATAAAATCTGTTATCCCAAAGCAACAATAGTCCAACTTGATAGGGATGGCGTTGCCAACCGTTCGACGTCGTGTCCAGCTGCGTGCAGGGACGTCGCTATAGGGGGGAGGGGGGGTGTGGGGTGTGGGGGTGTAACACCCCCAATAATTCAAACGTTGCAGGTCAAAATGGAACTGATATGTGCCCAAAGTTGGTCAAAATGGAACTGGTATTTGCTTAAAATTGAAGGTAAAACTAGGAAAAATTTGGTGAAAGTTTGGGAAATAA